CTCTTTCCAAGTCCACTGCAAGTTAAATGTACGTGGACGTTGTTTGAAAATAGCAACATCTGTATATCCACTCACCTTTCTTTTTTTCATACTTTGAAGTTTTAACTCACACCAGAAATCCAACAAGACGCTACCTCTACCCATTAACAGCAACTGGAGTAATTGCCCTCCTTTGTCGGGGACTGCTTTCTGCCTGACGTTCTCTTGACAGCCCACCTTTGGGGTCCAAACCTGGGATCCTCAGCTCCATTCCTCACCTCACCTTTGCTCCTTCTGACCATCTCTTGGCTCCCAACGTACGGAACAGGTCCCGAGTGCCCTCCCAGCTCCTTCAAAACCTATCTGCAAAGCACCTGCTTTGTTACCCACCCCCTCGCCCCCCTGGGACGCATCCCTTCTCACTGGGAAAAGAAAAACCGGAGAAATATTTTTTCAAGCCTTTGACTGGAAAACATGTTGAAATTGTAACTCCTTCAAAATTTAATTATTTTGTGAAGTAGTATATTTCAGATTCCCATTTCAAAGTACTAAGTTGGCAAGCAGAGGAAAAGGGGCCAGATTATCTTAAACTGGGAAGGTGCACAACTCCAACGAACCAGCAGGAGCTATGGCTGCTTACCGCGTGGGGAAATCAAGCCAGGTACATACTACTACCACATTAAATTCTTCACAGTCTGACAAGTGAAATACCTCACAGAATTCAGTTAGACATCAAACATGAACCCTGAAAAACACCTTACAGAAAAGGAGCATGAGAATACAAGGATGGTGTGATTTGATGTGGTTTTGATTCTGCACCTGTGCCTTTACTGGATCAGCTCTCCGCCAGAGTACGTGCCATTTGCTGTTTTGCAAGTCCAGAACGGTCACACCGATAAAAATGCAGTAACACGTACCAAAGGATAGCACAGATATGCTAAAAGTAAGGCACACCCTTCGGGACGTGGTAAAAAAAGGGTTATCTGAGACAGACTTCTTGGGCTAGCCTCGGCGAAAAACAGGGCAAAAAAACCAAAACCAAACAAACAAAAAAGCTCAATTGATTTAATTGGAAGAGGACCAGACACGAAGAACCGCAAACGAGCTGGCCAGGCAAGCACCTACCGCATTTTCCTGTGGGATAAAGGACCTCAGAGAAAGTGCCCGTTCGATAAAAACTCTGAGAAAACGGCAGCTGTCTGTCTGTGTCCGTCTGTCCGCCCGCCCGCCAGCTCCTCA